TCTAAAGCTTACATTAAGGAAGAGGCCTTGTTTGTCTTATGGAGTCCTGGTGTGGTACTGTGGGTTAATGCCCTGGAATTCAAAGACAGTTTGAACCACAACGTCAGCTGTTCAAGCTCACCAGCTACTCCTTGGAAACCCTATATAGGGTTGCTATGGGTTGGAAGTAACTCAACAACACTTAACAACTACAACAACAACCCTGAAACTGGAGTCCCTGGATGGTGCAAATGGTTAATGTACTTGGTTTCTAACTGAAAGCGGGAGGTTTGAATCCACCCAGAGTGCCTTGGAAGAAAGGCCTGGCAAATGACTGCTGAAAAGTCAGCCATTGAAAATCCTTGGGGATACATCAGAGGGTAAAATTCCCTTCCCTCATGAAGCTTACTTTCAAGTTTGATAATGACAATGACACCAATTAATATTCATAGGATGCTTTCTATGGTTAATTTTTACATTTAATATTCAGAAAAACCCTACAAGATAGGTATGACTATAATTCCCATTTTACAGATCAGGAAACCGAGGCACAGAGAGGTCAAGTAACTTGCTTAAGGTTACCGCTAGTAAGTGGTAGAGCTGAGATTCACACACAGGGAGTCTGGTTCTGGAGCCCGTCATCTTAACTACTCTGCTATAGTAGTTGTTGTTGTTGTCAGGTGCCATCGAGTCGGAACCGACTCATAGCGACCCCATGCACAGCAGAACGAAACAATGTTCGATCCTGGGCCAACCTCACTACCGCTGCCACACTTGAGTCCATCAATGATGCCACCTGGCCAATCCATCTCGTTAGGGGTCTTCCTCTTTTTCTCTGACCCTCCACCTTACCCAGCATGACATCCTTCTCCAGCGACTGTTTCCTCCGGACAATATGTCCAAAGTATGAGAGACGAAGCTTAGCCATCCTGGCCTCCAAGGAGCACTCTGGCTGTACTTCTTCCAAAACAGATCTATTGGTTCTTTTGGCAGTCCATGGCACTTTCAGTATTCTCCTCCAACACCACAACTCAAAGGCATCAATTCTTCTACGATCTTTCTTATTCACTGTCCAGCTTTCGCATCCATATGAGGCTATTGAAAACACCATGGCCTGGGTTAGGCGCACCTTAGTCCTCAAGCTGACATCTCTGCTCTTCAATATTTTAAAAAGTTCCTGTGCAGCAGATTTACCCAATGCAATATGTCGTCTGATGTCTTGACTGCTGCTTCGCGAGTGTTGATAGTTGCTATAGTAGTAGTTGTAGTTAAGTGTCATTGAGTTACTTCTGACTCATAACAACACTGTATAGGTTTCCAAGGAGTGGCTGGTGGGTTTGAACTACTGACCTTGCAGTTAGCAGTCTAGTGATTATCCTACAGCACCACATCACGACTGCCTCTTATATACATACATGCACTACATGTGCCATAAATGTTTGTGAAAACAATGGCTTGAAGTATATAAAAACCAAACACCAAACGCATGTGGTAGAGTTGCTTATGACTCAGAGCACCTCGTGGTCACAGAGCCAAGCTGCCCCAGAAGGCCTTTCTTGGTTGTAATCTTTATGGAAGTAGATTACCAAGCCTTTCTTTCACGGTGCCACTGGGTGACTTCAAACCTCCAACCTCCAGGTTAATAGTCAAGTATCAACTGTTTGTGCCACCCAGGAACCCTCTAGAAAAAGCCTCAGGAAAATGAAGGCTATCTTAGCAGTAGGAAGTCAGGGAACTTCACGGAGAAAGTGACATGGACTGACTGTTGAAGGCTACGTAGGAGTTCAAAGGGTGGGCAGATAAGTGAGGGTGGTATGTGTGTGTGGGTGGGAAGGTAGGAGGCATTCCTGGCAGAAGGAAAGCATGCACAAAGGCATAGAGGCATGAAGAAATATGGGATGCTGAAATGTGAATGACAAGAAGTTATTCTGATGGGAACATAAGGTCTAGGGAGGGGGTTAGAGACAAGGCCAAACTATTAAAAGGCATTATATTATGAGGTCTCAGGTGGGTTTCAGGTAGGAGACCTGTGTTTGCTGCCCATCCAGTGCACCTACCACCTATTTGTCAGTGGAAGCTTGTGTGTTGCTATGATGCTGAACAGGTTTCAGTGGAGTTTTCAGACAAAGATAGACTACGAAGAGAGGTCTGGCAATCGACTTGTGAAAATCAGCCAATGAAAAGTCTACGGATCACACTGGTCCAATCCACAATGGATCACAGGGATGGTGCAGTACTGGGCAGCAAATCGTAACATTGTGCATGGGGTCATCATGAGTTCGGGGCTGACTGAATGGCAGCTAGTAACAACATATTGTAAAGTGTCTTGCATGCACTGCTACGTAGTTTGGACTTAGTCTTCAAGATACTGAGAAATGAGATTCTTAAAGAATGAGATTCTGATTCTCTGAGTATTAGTAATCCTGAGGGAGAAGAGGGGATGGTTTTCAAAAGGACCAAATAGCTGAAACGGGACGGTCAAAGAGCGCAGATGTAAAGAAACATAAGAAAGAAAGATGTAACCAAGAATTGGAGTAAAGGAGCACCATGCTTTCTTCCAACTGTGAAATTTTAGTATATATCTCCCCTTCTCTATGCTTACTTCTTTTTACTAACCTGAATTGCCAAATCCCCCCTTCTGGTTCCCCATGACTTCAGGGACCTCATTGGCACTAACTTTGTATTGCCAGTTCTAAGATTTGAGATGATTAGCTTATTACCTATATGACATATTTTCTGGTCTCCTATCACAGAGGAACAGAAAATAAGTATAACAAGCTCTCTCCCTAGAAGACAGGCGAGTGTGAGCTCAGAATAGGAGGGGATGATTAGGAGTTTCTCCAGTGTCTCTGGTGGTAAGTTTGTACTATTTAATCAGCAAGACTAGATCTATTATGTTCTCCCTGAATATCTAGCACCAAACACAGTGCTGAAACACATTACATCTCAATAAATGTATGTTACATGGGACCAGCAGAACACTGATTGAACCACACCACTGTGGCCGAGTGCCCTTCATCTCATTACTTGAAGCAGAAACTGAAGACATAGAAATGACTGAAGGATCCTAGAAAATGAACTTTCTATTCTTTGCAGAGTCTCAGATTTAAATGGCACAGGAGTAAATGGTACCTGTACAGTTTGCTCTATAATTGTCAAAACACATCCAGGAGTCAGGAGAAATATGTTAGAAGACCTGGTTTTCACCTCAAGTGTCTCTGCAGTGGAAAAGTACTCTAGTAGATTTTCCATTCTTTCCTGTTCTCTACGGAATGGACTTAGAATAAATGCTCTCAGACACTAGATCCCATATCTCTAAATTTAGGTTGGGATGAAAAAGCTAGTTTATGTCAAGATTTCCAGTTTTGGATATTGTTTTTTCCTAGGATTTTTCAAAACATAAAGACAAACCAGATCTGTACTCTCAAGGGGTTTGCAGTCTGGACAAGTTGAGTATGCACGGAACAAGTTAAGGAGACTGGTTCTATATGCCTCTAGTCTCACTATTTTATAACCATATTGTGTATTTACAGTGAAAGCAGCAGAAAATAAAAGAAGGTAAAATTGGTTACACAATAAAAACTAACCACAACACATGGAATAATCAACAATTTAACCTCTGATCTGATAAGTCAAGTACTGTGATTTTCAAAGATTCTGGAGAAAAATTCCCCTTGGAAAGTTTATAAGAAAAAATCTCAACATTTCAAATAGAATTCTTAAACTATGCATAATTCTCTTTTTATGGCATGGTTGATAATTGGATCCAAAGGGACAAATGACTGTTAGAAAACTAGGTGGATTATTTGGGTGTGATTTTCTAAATTTAAGGTGATGATAATGGGACTATTTTACAGTGAGTTATGAATTTCGGTGTTCAGTATTGAACTCTGAAATTAGTGATATACAACTTATCTCCCTGGGACTTATGGGGATAAAAACTCTAGAGAAGGAATTATTATTTGGAAGGTTTGAAGAAAAGTCTGAGCTGTGTTAGTTAAAGAATCACAGCTTCTGAAATCTCTATAGAGAGCTGCCTTCCCGTCTTTTCTACAATGGCTGGGGCCAAGAGAGGTGCTGCCAGGTTGAATTTTGAACTTTCCTTTGGAACCACTGCCTATGGAAAATATTATTTCAGGCATTAGAGTTATAATGTCTGTTCTTATTTTTTGCAAGTCCAGACTTAATGTTCCTATTTCACTTACGGCAAGCTTGGACTTGTTTGGAATAAAGTAAACTATCAAATATAATCCCAAAAGCATTCCTGTGGAACACTGCATCGTGGGGACAAACCACACACACACACCATAAACAGAAAAGAAAAACGAAATGACCATTGAGTTTCCAGAATCATCAAGACACCCTTTAAAGGGTTTGTGTTTTATTTTTGCCCACAAATAGATCACTCTGAGAATGTTTCTTCCAGAAAGTGAATTATTTTCCTTAATACTGTGAAATCCTATTTTTAAAAATTCTTACAATCAAGCCAATTAAATGCGACTAACAACTTTTTCTAAGTACTCAGTCGGTATTTCACACTTCTTTTCTCTTCCCCCACCTCTTGATTTCACTTCTAGATACAAGTCTAAGAAAGAATGACAAGAAAATGACATCTCTGAATCCCCAAAAGAGTAGAGGCAGTTCTTACGAATGGATTTCCCAGCTTTTAGCATGAGCTCAGTTACTTTTGGGGACCGGGTAGTCTGAGGTATGGGAAAATCTTTTCTCTATATATACCCTGCTCTGTGAGTTCTCACTTTCTTGGCCCAAGAATGGAAATCTCAATATAAAACTTCCAAAAAAGCTAAGGAAAGCTTTCGTCATTCCTCTAGGCATCCCCGCAGTTGCCAAGGGCTCCCCTCCCATCTTCTCTGGCATCCTGGGAGAGGAATCTTCTGGTACCAGTGCGGGGCGCGCCAGCGGCGGACGCCCTACCCGGTCTGAACCACCAGGGGGCGCCCGGCTCTCCTGCCCGCGCGGGTCTAACGGGGAGCGTAGGCGAGGAATTCGCTCGTGCCCACCTTGCTCGCAGGTGCCCTTGCTGACCTGGGTGATGGCCTTCTCCCCGCGGCTCTCGGCCCTCAGGCTGGCGGCGCGCAGCTGGCACCCGCTGGGGTATGTGGTGCCATCGCTGCCGCACACGGGGTAGCGACTCTTGCACACGCACACGCCGCTCAGCCCGGGGCCGCCAGCTGCTGCCCCGGCTTTACCCTTCCGCCTCTTGCGGCTCTTCACGCACTCCATGCCCGGCGCGCAGTGCCCCCTGCCGGCGCCGCCACCCCCGCACGGCTCGCCCTCACCTCGGGCGCACACCGGGCAGCAGCCGCACGCATCCCGGGTCTCGCCCAAAGGGCAGCCCCGCGGGGGCAGGGGCGGGCAGGCGGCCGGCTTGCAAGGGCCGCAGGCGTCTGAAGAGGAGGAAGAGGAGAGGGGCAGGAGTAGGAGCAGCAGCCCGGCGGAGCCGAGGAGCAGGGCGTGCAGCGGCGCTCGCTCCATGGTGCGGGGGGCAGTGACGGCGGCGGGAGCTCCACTGAGCCGGGGCCGGCCGGCCAGCACTTTAAACTCGCCGCCCCGCCCGGCCGGGCCGCGGGAACCACACCCCGGGGCGGTGTGACCCAGCCGCCCCGCCCGCCCGCCTGCCGGGCCGCCCCTCCTGGGGTGGCTGGGCCTGAGCCAGCTTGGGAGCGGCAGACCTAGCGAGTGCTTGGGACCTTGGCGCGGGCGGAGGGGCGCTCCCTCTCAGGCCAGCTGTACTTCAATGGTCTGGACAGATCGCACCCCGCGGGGTCCTGTTCAGCTCCCTGCCCAGGAGGGCCGCTTCCGCAGTGAGAGCGGCGCCCTTACCTAGTTTAGCCATACTTCTTAACAACAACAACGCCTTTGAGATGATCCAGTGTTAAATTCCCCATGGGCCTGGCAAAACTGAGTACTGGATTATTTTGTGGTTTGGGAAACTTCTTAGGATTTATGGATTTTGTATTGCCGGTTGGTCACAGGCCTGATGTGGTCTTGGGTGCCAGACTACAAGGCCACATCGTTGCCAGCCACTCCTCTTTTTAGAATCTCATGACTGCCGCCCTCCCCCGTGGTGTTAATAAACAAAAACACGAGCTTATTTCTCACGCTAGTGTTAAGTGTGAGTGCTGTATTCCATGTGAGAGCTGAGGCACACTAAGTTATGTTGAACAGTCATCAAACTTCTCACAACAGAAGTATAACCGTGGGTAGAAAACAGGCCCGCTCCTCAATGGAGGCGTCCCTGAGACAGCTGTTGTTGTTGTTAAGTGCATTCGAGTCGGTTTCGACCCACAGCGATCCTGTGTAGGGTTTCCAAGGAGCGGCTGGTGAGCTTGAACCGCCAATCTTTCAGCTCAAACCGACTTTACATTCCAGTGCAGTAACACACAGCGCCACAGCGGGACATTTCCACTAGTATTCCTGTGAAGTTTTTCTTTCTTGATTTGACTTTTGGAACAGTTTTAGGATTACGAAAAAATTGTGCAGAAAACACAGTCTTCAGATACACGCCCCCTCCCTTTTGCACACAGTTTCTATTAACTAATATGCTGTATTGTTAGTAGCCCTCATGTTGCAGTGGTTAAAGAATTATTTGGTCAATAGAGAATCGGCCTCTGTAAACATTTACAGCATTGGAAATTCCATGGGGGCGGTTCTACTCTGTTCTCTAGATCCTGTAGTAGTCAGATGGTCTGGGAGCTGCGTTAATGTGCTTCATTGATTACAACTGGAGAAGCAAATAGTGATAGACTGTTGAATCCAGTTCATAGTTTACTGTGTTCACAGTGTTGTCCGTTCTTTGAGTTTTGAAATACACAATGTCGCATATCCAGCATTACATTCAGAATGTTTCACGGTTCTTAAAATGTTCTATTTTCTACCCATTCATCCCCCCTCACTCCATAAACCTCTGGCAACCACGAATCCTGTGAAGTTTTTTTTTTTTTTTATATAAATGAGTCACAATTTCTCAGATGTTTTTATAAAATGGTCTGAAAATTGAACTTCAAAGACTCTTTTTCCAAAAGTTGGCAACTTCAAAGTCCCCCTATCCAGGAAATCTGACATTGCATTTTGGTCACTTCCTAGCATATTTAAGAAGAATGACACTTTTTTCAAAGGTTATATGTTGACATGAGTCTTCATATTAAGGCAGAGTTTTCCTAAACATTTTTGCATTTATTTCACAGTAAGAAATACATTGTTCATGACCCAGTACACACTCCTAGATTACAAAAAAAAAAAAAAAAAAACACAAAACAAAAAAACCCCCCAAAACAAAACAGATAATATAATCTGTTATTTTCTATTGTATTCAATTTGAATTTTATGAATTTACTGGTCAGGGCTGTCATGGATTTAATTATGTTGTTGTTAGGTGCCTTCGAGTCAGTTCTAACCTCATATAGGCTTTCTGAGGAGTGGCTGGTGGGTTGGAACTGCCAACCTTGCAGTTCAAACTTACCTTGCAGTTCAGCACATTACCCTGCAGCGCCATACTAGGACTCTGGATTTAATCATCTCCCCTCAAAATACATGTCAACTTGGCTAAGCTATGATTTCCAGTATTATGTGATTGCCCTCCATTTTGTGATCTGATGTAGTTATCATCCATTTGTTAATGTTTTATAAATCCCAACTTTTGTATGTTGATGAGGCAGGATTAGGGTGGGCTGTATCTTGAGTCACAGCATTATAAGAGGGGGAGATTCTTGTTCCACCCTTACTCAAGTCTCACCCTTTGTTTAGTCACATCTTTTATTGGAAAAAAGATAAAAGGAGAGAAGTAAGCAGAGACAAGGGAGCTGAGCTGACTACTAAGAAAGAAAAGCTGGGAGTGGACCACATCCTTTGGACCCAGGGTAACTGTGCTGAGGACCATCTAGACCCAGGGAACACTGATGCCAAGACCCATGGTGATCTTCAAGCAATGCTGGGTCTACAGATGCTGAAAGGAGAAAAGGACCTTTTCCTAGAGCCGGAGCCCTGAATCCAGTCTTCTAACCTACCAAACTGTCAAAGAATAAATTTCCGCTTGTTAAAGTCATCCATATAGTATTTCTGTTACAGCAGCACTAGATAATTAAGATAAAGACACACTAAATTATTTTCACTACCATAGCGTAGTGGTTATGAATCGGGCTGCTAACTTCAGGGTCAGCAGTTCAAAACTACCAGCTGTTCCATGGGAGAAAGATGAGGCTTTCTGCTCCCATAAAGGTTTACAGCCTCGGGAATCCTGTACAGGGTCGCTATGAGTCGGAACCAACTCCACGGCACATAACAACAACAACAACTTGTCATAGTTTTGGTTTCCCCAGAAGCAGACCCTGAGACAGTATTCCAGGGCAAGTAGTTTACTTGACAGGCAATGTTAGGGTACATGGAGGGGAGAATGGGAAGGGAGCAGGAAAGGAAGACAGCATTAGAACAGTGGATCCAGCCAGATCCCTAAAGGATGGGCTGCCTAAGCCAGAAGAAGCCCTTGGTCTTGCCGTTAGGTGCCATTGAGTCAGTACCGATGCATGTCAGTCTTATGAACAACAGAACGAAACACTGTCTGATCTGGCGCCATCTCATAATTGTTGCTGTTTCAGCCCTTTGCAGCTGTCACTGTGCCAATCCATCTAGTTGGAGGTCTTCTGGTTTTTGCTGACAATCCAAGCATCATGTCCTTCTCAAGGGACTCATCCCTACTGATAATATGTTCTAAGTATGAGAGACAAAATGTGGCCATCCTGGCTTCTAAGTAGTATTCTGTCTGTCCTTATTCCAACACCAGATTTATTTATTTAATATTCTTCTTTAACACTGTAACTCAAATGCATCAATTCTTCTATGGTATTGGTTATTCATTGTCCAGCTTTTACTTCATCATTCATATTTTGGACATATTATCAGGAGGGGCCAGTCTCTGGAGAAGGACATCATGCTTGATAAAGTGGAGGGACAGCAAAAAAGAGTAAGTCCCCCAATGAGTTGGATTGGCACATGGCAGCAACAATGGGCTCAAGCTTAGTAATAATTGTGAGGTTGGCCCATGACTAGAAAGTGTTTTGTTCTGTTGTGCTTAAGGTCTCTATGTGTTGGTACAGACTAGACAGCACCTAATAACAACAGCAACAACTTTCACATGCATATGAGGTTACTGAAAATACCTTGGCTTCCGTCAGGTGCACCTCATCTTTGCTTCTCAACACTTTAAAAGGTCTTGTGCAGCAGATTTGCCTAATGCAATATGTCGTTTGATTTCTTGACTGCTCATTCCATGAGTGTTGATTGTGGATCTAAACAAAATGAAGTCTTTGACAACTTCAATCTTTTCTCCATTTATATGGATGTTGTTTATTGGTCCAGTGGTGAAAATTTTTGTTTTCTTATACATTGAGTTGCAACACATATGGAAGGTTGTGATCTTTGATCTTCATCAGTATTTCAAGTTTTCAGCAAGCAAGGTTGCATATTGAAGGTTGTTAATGAGTCTTCCTCTAACCCTGATGGCACGTTTTTCTTCATATAACCCAGGTTCTCTGATTATTTGCTCAGCATATAGATTGAATGTTGTTGTTGTTGTTAAGTGCTGTTGAGTTGGTTCCGACCCATAGCGACCCTGTACAGGGTTTCCGAGGGTATATATCCTTACGGGAGTAGAAAGCTTCATCTTTCTCTCGCGGAGCGGCTGGTAGTTTCGAACTGCTGACCTTAAGGTTCACAGCCTGATTCGTAACCACTACGCTACCAGATTGAATAAGTATGGTGAAAGCATACAACTCTGGCGCACACCTTTCCTTATTTTAAACATTCATTGTTACTTTGTTCTATTCAAACAACTCCTCTTGGTCTATGTACACGTTCCTCATGAGCACAATTAAGTGTTCCAGAGTACTTATTCTTCACAATGTTGTCCATAGCTTGTCATGATCCACACAACCAAGAGCCTTTGCATAGTCAATAGAGCACAGGTAAACACCTTTCTGGTATTCTCTGCTTAAAGCCAAGATCCATCTGACATCAGCAATAATGTCCCATTTCCTCATCTGAATTCAGCTAGAATGTATGGCAGTTCTCTGTCAATGTACTGTTGCAGTCGTATTTTAATTACCTTTAGCAAAATTTTACTGCATGTGTTATTAATGATATTGTCTAATGATTTCCACATTCTGTTGGGTCACCTCTCTTTGGAATGGGCACAAAATTGATCTCTTCTAAACAGTTGGCCAAGCAACTGTCTTCCAAATTTTTTGGTATAGATGAATGTGCGTCTTGAGTGTGCATTAATTTTTTGAAAGATTTCTATTAGCATTCAATCAATTCCTAGAATGTTGTTTTTTTGTCAATGCCTTAATGATGTTGGTCATGGTTATATGCTACTCCTTGAAATGGTTGAATATCGACCATTTCTTTTTGGTACAGGGATTTGTATTCCTTTCATCATCATCTTCTTCTTCTTTTTTTTTTTTTTTTCCTTTTCTTTCTCTTTTTAAAGTTTTTATTGTGACTTG